GGGGGAGGGGGGGGGCTGGGCTGGGCTCCAGCTGCTCCGTTCCATTATTTAGGCTTCTCAGCAGCCCCGCTGAGCTCTGAAGGTAGCTGACACCTCAGCCTGGGGCACAAAGTCCTAGGATGCTACGGACGAGGAGAAACGACTGGCAAAGCAGCGAGACAATGCTTTTCCTTTAACCAGTGGCACAGACTGTGTTAAAAAGCCAGGCTGCCAGGGGCTCCTTCATGTGAGGCCGGTGCCATCTAGCGCCCCGCTTCTCAGCAGCCCCGCTGAGCTCTGAAGGTAGCTGACACCTCAGCCTGGGGCACAAAGTCCTAGGATGCTACGGACGAGGAGAAACGACTGGCAAAGCAGCGAGACAATGCTTTTCCTTTAACCAGTGGCACAGACTGTGTTAAAAAGCCAGGCTGCCAGGGGCTCCTTCATGTGAGGCCGGTGCCATCTAGCGCCCCATCCTGCAATCGGATCCTTCTGGAGAGCCCCGCTAAGATCTCCGGACAGGCACAAGGGTCCAGCCACATGGGGCACCATCCAGAGTCAGCTATTACAGGACAGATACCTGGAAATACCTTCACTGTGGCCATTTGGGCTTAAGGCAAGTTATTGCAGAGGGCCAGGTGAGTGGCCCAGACCGAGTTGTTATTACTGCCTCGCTACAGACCCCCAAACGCCTTCTGCAGCAATGCCACCAAGACAAGCTCAGTTGCCCACCAGCCAGCAATTTCACCTAAGACAGAACATTTAGCCCAACAGTCCCAATTTAAATCCACCCATTCCCCATCCCAAAACCAGTACAGAAACCAGCCAGGACAGGTCCGCTTTGATCTGCAGCCCCAGTTGGTATGCCAGTGCTGGGCTCCCGGCCTAGCTATGCCTCTGCCCCTTGGTCGGGTCCTGTCCTGCTCACAGACTTTAAAGTCAAAAGGGAACCTGGTGATCACCGTGTCTGCATACGGCAGGCCACAGAATCGCACCCACCCACTTCGGAAATAGACCCCTTTCCTCTGGCTGAGTCACTGTCATCCTCGGAGTTCAGGTTACAGAGAGGTCACTGTTTACACAAGTTTAAACTAGGAATGTAAAGGGTTAACTGGTTACCCAGTAAGCATCAGCCTCAGCACCAAAATCAGTACCTTTCAAAGGGCTTTTCTACACTATGTGGAAGATCGACACTGCCGCAGTCGATTTTCTGGGGTTCGAATTAGTCTAGTAAAGAGCCTCTCATTTGGACTGAGAGGGTGCTGCTGTCAGCGCCGATAGTCCTGTTCCTCACGAAAGCAGGAGAAAGAGCTCTTGTGCAAGAGAGCTTACACTTCATAGAAAAGAGCGTAGTCCTTGTGCAAGAAGCCCTCTCTTACCAAGCTTTACTGTAAATCCTCTTGCACAAGAGCTGGCGGGCAGTGTGGATGCTCTGCGGAAGAATGGCCATTTTTGTGCAAGAACCCACCAGTGTAGAAATAGCCCATAGACATACAGGCTGGCTGTGTCTAGACTGCATCCCTTTTCCGGAAAATAAAGCCTTTTCCGAAAGATCCCTTATTCCTTTTTTTAAGAGGAATTGCAATGTGTCTAATTTGCATCCTTTTACGGAAAAGGGCTGCAGTCTAGACACAGCCACTATGTCTACACCAGTGCGATCTTGCGCCAGAGCTATGCAAATGAGGCTAAGCGTGGAATATCGCCGAGCCTCATTTGCATATCTAATGAGCCGCCATTTTGCAGAAGAGGCTCTTGCGCAAGAAGGAGCTGTCTGCACTGCCCCTTCTTGCGCAAGAAAAACCCTCTTGCGCAATGCCGCTATGCTGATTATTTTTAGGAATACAGCGTATAACACAGTAGGCCAGACTACATGATCAGAATGCTCTGAAAACCTATGAAGATTGTTGAAAATAAATCATAGAGTACATTATTCACTAGTGTGACTTTACCTGGGTTACCAGAGCACCTAGGAGACCCAGGTGACTCCAGTATACCTGTGAGAGAAAAGAACCTAGCCTATAAAAGGTCCAGGCAATCACAATAACAAAGTGAACGCAAAGAGACTGAAAGAAAGAATATGATCAGATGCTACATGTGGGTATTGAGGGCTGTAGGAGAAACGATCTGGTGTCAGTATGTGCTGAGAATCAATACACAATGGTGTCATTCGAGTCTGCATTCTAATACATATGCAAACCAGGAAGGCTTTAGGTTACACAATTTTATCTTTGTCATTTCTCAGCTTCTGGGAACTCAAAGTTCCTTTTTTCATGTCCTCTTAGCACGGTTTCCTGGACAGAGTTTCCTGGGGTGTCCTTCTTTAAGAAAGAGGAAATTCTCCAGCATGGAATTTGGCTAGACCCTCTCCTGCCACTTCCCCTCCAAAGAGCTGCACGTCCCCCTCACAGCTCACTGGGCACAGGTGCCGCAGAGGACCCTCCTGCAGAGCCCCCGGCTCAGCGCCCCTAATCCTAACCCCGTGTAAGTGCTTTGCTGTCTCAGGGTCTCGCCTGCAGGCTCACGGCAGCTTCCCACAGCTCCTGGCCTGCTCGGCCAGGGCACCAGGCACTTCGTGGCCGGGCAGGATCCACTCCTTGGCCTCACTCCTATCTCTCTAGTGCATGGGGAGGGACAGGAATCAAACCCGGCCCCCTCCCAAGGCCTGCGAGGGACTCTCCCTGCCCCCCCCATTCGGAGAGTCTTGTATCCCCTCCCCCTTAGCGGGGGGGTGTCTCACAACCCCTCTGCTATGTTAGGGGTTGTAGATACAGCTGGGGGGGGTCTCGTATCCCCTCCCCCAGGCTGGGGGGGGTCTCGTACCCTCTCCCCCAGGCTGG